CAAAGATAAAAGACTCTGACACTTACTTGATTCAATTCAAATCCCACTCTCAATTCAAAAAACAACAAAACTTATTAATACTTTTTCGATAAATATAAATTTCAGATATTTTAAGCGAGCTAGGCAAAGTGTTTCATGATGTGGCTGCGGAAAAGCTAGTAGATTGACGCCATTTTCGACAATCGTTGCAACTTTTCTAATCTAGAGGATGTGTAAATATTCTGAAAGTTGTCAAACAGTCTAGTCTTAAGTAGAATGGCTTTTCTGAGTGAGGCGACTAGTCGTTCGTCGGCACCCCTTCGGGGTGCCACTCACGGCTAGCCGCCTCAATTATTAATGTGCTTCCTTCTTGTGATTGTAGTGTTCCATTCAAATGTTGCATCATTCAATGTTCACTTTATTAAAATTTGTAAGATTAAACCAAAACGAATTTTCAAACCCACGCGCATCAACAATTATAGGGTCCGTTCATTTTGAATTTATTTGCACCTTTACTGAACTCCTTACAATTTTTAGCTGGATAAGCCATGGTTCCCAAGTACTTATAAGATTTATTAGGAGGTAAATATTCGGATAAATAGAATTTTAGCCGATAAGCCTAAATAAAGTCGTGATGCTTCTAAGAAACTGCTGACACACTTCGTGTAAACCAGAGATTTTCATGAAACATATCCCATCTCCTGGGGTTGAAACCCATCTACGGCATGGAGTTTACAGAAATAATTACTCCATGAAATGAATTATAGTGCAATATTTCAACAAACCAAAGTTTTTTATGCTAAGTTTTTCTTCAGCAATGAAACAACAATACAGCGAGGTGGGCGACTAGTCGTTCGTCGTCGCCCCTATAGGGTGCCACTCACGGCTAGCCGTTTGCACAAAATCCGAATTGCGCGGAAAAGACCGTTAGTAGCTACTACTGTAAGATCTTAAACATAGAAAAAATATATCTATCATTATCATCATCAGTGAGTCGCACACTTGCGAAACGGTGCATTATGCAAAAATCAGTGACGGAAAATGCGACTTGCTAAAGTCCCTCAATTCATCATAGACTAGATCGAATTGGAAAAATCACAAAGCATTAATTGCACACCTCACTTAAACCAGTTATTTTTCCTGGAATCAAGATGTTCACTAGTTAAGCATACTACTGTCAAATATCCATCTGCAAAACGAAAATACTTTCCATCAAATTTTCACTTACTCATCAACTTCCTTCATTTCAATAACGAGCTCTATTTTTCAAATTGTGCTACAGATCTCAGAGCACTGATCCTTGTTTACTGAAAAATCAACAAGACAATTTTAAAAAACTTATGCCAGATTCGGATTCCCCGACCCCGATTACCTTTGGTCAAACTTTGTAAAAAATTATTTTTTTCCTAAAAAAGTATTTCGGGGTCCTAAAAAATCCCAAACTCAAAATTCTAAGAAGCTGATCTCGGATTCAGATTCCCCGACCCTGATTACCTTTGGTCAAACTTTATAGGGAATAATTTTTTTCCTAAAAAACTAATTCAGGGATCTAAAAAATTCCAAACTCAAAATTCTAAAAAATAAAAAACTGATCTCGGATTCGGATTCCCCGACCCTGATTACCTGTGGTAGATCTTTTTCGGAGAGCCGGCGCTGAAATTTTCATTGGTTTAGTGGATACTGAAATCTGATTGGTTTGTCAAACAAACATACATACAAACATACAAACTTTAAAGATATTTACGCTGCGTATAACCCTTTCTTTCAGAAAAGGGAATTAGACATTTTATTTCAACTCCGATCTCAACTCTAATCGAAATTTAAAATAAGTTATCGAGATCCAGGAATCTGAATCCGGCACCATCGATACCGAGCCTGAGGATCCGAGTCGGATCGATGGGTATGGGTAGGTACGTCTCAATAATCAATTCTATAGTAAGTTGTAACTTATAAAATGCGCTTATTCTTTTATCTATTTTCATATATCACAATTATCAATAGAAAGTAATGTCAATCTGGTAAAATGAATTCAATAAGTTCTTTATTTAGGTATGTAGCAATAATCAATTGAAATGCAAGTTCAATACGATAAAATGAATTAATGTTTCTTTCTATTTACGTGTATGTGAATAATTGATCTCATGGTATTCAATCTTACACTATCAGTCGCTACTCTTGTTTTTTGTTTAGGATCGTCTCAACAACAAGTAACGGTGATTCCCCTTTCGTGCGAATAAAGGAGAAAGGGCTGGCTCGGATTCTGCTCACAACAAATCCAGGTAAATATAACACATACGATTTAGTGGCATAGCATAGAAATGAGGGTTAAGGATAGAAATAAGGGGCTAAATATGAAATTAACGACTGGATATACCATTAGTGACGAGTACTAGACTAATTGAGTGTGGCGGACTACATTTTGCCACTCTAGAACCATTTTTAGAAGAAAAAGGAAAAGGTTCCAGCTAGAACCAGATTTTGCTTAAACCTTAAATGGTTCTGGAAATGGTACCCACATCTAGAACCTAAAAACGTTCAGTATGACACCTTTTTTGTTTTCTGAGTGGAAAAGTATATAAATTATATAAGAGGCTATATAAAAAATGATTGATTAATATTAGTAATTCTTTAGAATCCGTATTGCTGTATTTTTGGGTTATTCTTAATATGTCTGATATGTTGAAATCGTTGACGCGGGTTTTTATTATGGAGTATAGATATTCGCTTTGAGTTGAATAAATCAATTAACATTGTTTGATTTGGTATGTGTCGACTGTTCTTGTTATTTATTGATTAGACCAATTTATAATATAATATAATCGTCTCGAATTCATTCGAAGTATTTGAATTTGTTATCAAAACTTATAGGAATGCTTTATTGATTTTTTTAAATTAATTTTCTTATTAATGATGGCTAGGGGTGTCAGATTTCCCCGCTCCCAAACGTTCCGTTCCTAGAAACAAGAACGCATCTCAATCTGCGTTTTTGAATAGCTTATAAATGAACCGAAGTGTCTATTCATTTTTGTTCATCATTTTATTTGTGCAGGTTACTCGTTCCCATGAACGGAAACTCAGTTAGCGTTCCTGTTCCTAGGAACGGGAACGCGACATCCTCAAGGTGTGGGTATAGGTTGAGGGTAAATCTTCATCTTAATTGAAACCTACACCCCACACCCACACCCTCGAGCTGCCAACACGAAATAAGCAAAACTTATGTTTGGTGGGTATTCTCCTCATGTACTAAAACTTTACCAGTGTTAGAGTTAGATAATTTCCTGGGTACATCGGGGACGAGAACTTTGTTCAATATTCAATGTGTAAGCGGAAAATGAATTCACCAATAGTCTTACATAACGATCGAAAATGAAGTCCTACGTCCACCTACCACCCAATTTGTCGTCAAAGGAAAAATAAACTCATCAATCGATCTTCAGATTATTCACCCTCAGAAAGTTCAGCCGCTATTTCCACTAATTGAGAATCCTCTGGTTGATTCTGATTCACAACAAATATTACTCATTGGGCCTATAGATTCTAGTACAGCAAAATCTGTTTGTAATAATACGCTCAAACAAAGAATTTCACGATATCTGCCCGATTGTGTATATGTTGGTGAGTTAAATTTAAACGATTCAGATGTTCCGCTCATAGTTGAAGCAGCAATTGATCGTAAGAATGCATCATTCTTTGATTTAAATCATAATATGATTAGTGTCGAAGCAGCCCGACTGATTGCAGATGGACTACATGACAATACTATTTTGAAAGTCTTACGCATTTGGACAAACAAACTATCGGACATTGGCACACGTCATATCGCTCAAGCATTATGTTTCAATAGAACACTATGTGTCTTATGTCTCGCAAACAACGGGCTTACTGATATATCTATTAGGGATCTCTCTCATATGCTACAAGTAAACTCAACTCTTAAGATTCTTTATCTGGATAACAACATGATAGGAAACGATGGAATAGATATGCTAATGAATTCTCTATGCTCTAATAAAAATCTACATAGATTATACTTACATTGCAATAAAATCTCCGATAAATCAATAGAACATATAAAAAACATGTTTAGTCACAATGGAACATTGAAAGTACTGACTGTCACAAATAATCGATTCTCGAACGAAGAACAAGAGCATCTTCGAAATGCAGCCAAAAAAAGACTGAACTCTCATTTTTTGTTTAAACATTATCCAACAAAGAAATAAATTCGTTTTTGTAATTGCTCCTCTTATTTGTTATGTATTAATTATTTGAAAAATCATGTATTTTACATTGAAAGTGACAGAAATTTTGGCTTAGATTAAATGAACGGGAAAATGACATACACACTCAATAAGTGTAGCTTGTCAATCAAATCTTCTATTGGGTCACACTTCACATCCAGACCCTGAAGACTTCAGCATGTTCTCTAAAGCTATGAATGGTTTCATATGACACCTTTATTTTTTAAGAGAGTTTGGGATGTGAGGTTTCGATGTGAAAGACTTGAAACAGACAAAACCAATGGAGACATGTACAACCCATAGCCACACCCACACTCTGAATTGATAAATAGGGGCTTGTTTGTTAGCGACATCTCTTGAAGAAAACGATATGATTAGTTAAAGTTATTCTTAGCGAATCAGTAGTGAGATGAACAAACTATAACTAGTTGATTCGATTCATTTTCTTTTCTTACTAAATTTCGTAAATTTTTTTTATGAACAACAATCAAATCGATCATTATTTATCAGTGCACAGTAATCACAGTGAAGGCTTTGCCTTTAGGGATAATATATCACAAAATATTCTTACTATTAGCTAAGAGAAACGAAAGAAAACTTATTCTAGATATTAAAATCATGGTACGCAAAGTTGCAAAACATGTGGCACGAAATAAGAAGAAATATTGGAGACAAATTTCAACCAAAGATGTCGAAGATGGATTAGAAGATATTCGAGTAGAAGAAATGACAGGGTATGATTTCAGTGTTTCCTACGATTGACTACTGGTGGAAGTATCAATATTATTTTTAGTGGCCGACGATCTGAGCAACCTGATCATATTTTATATCATATCGATAATGAACGTCCACTTGGTTCAACATCTCCATCTGCAGAAGACATGGAAGTATCTCCTGTCGTTCGTCGTTCCGTACGAAAACAACGTGAAAAACTTGATTTAAACAATCTTAATACGTACAAAATTTTACAACCACACAGTTGCGTACCACCACCATGTGTTGAGTAAGTTTGAATAGATATATATATATATATATAGGGAAAAAAAGTAAAAACTGATTGCATATTTTAGTTCACGTGAACCTAAAGATCCATCATCAAAATCATCGAAACGTCTTGTTGAAACAGAGAAAACAGTTGAAATGCGTCGAGCTGCAAAGAAAAAATATCAAAATGCAGCAAAACAACGTTCTGAAGCTAAACAAAAAACTGCTTTAGAAAAAGCAGATAAATTAGAACTCGTTGATCCTCATGTTTCACAAGTTTACGATCTATGGGGTACACAGAACGAAAAAAAACGTAACAAAAAAAAGAAACAACTCATTTTTTAATCGTCTTCTTTTTGCTCCTAATTTAATAGAACAAACGCAGTCACTTGTCGGACCTGTTTTAGCTACATATTTGGATCAAGTTCATCAAACATATGATTGGAAAGTGCCAAGTCATATCGTTAAAAAACCATCGAAATTGCCAGCTATTGAAAAACCATTACCTGGTATATCGTATAATCCAACCTATGATGATCATCAAGTAACACCAAAGAAAAACTATTCGTCATATTTAATAATCCATACTTTTTACTATTCACTCTAGGATCTACTTCGTAAAGCTGTAGAAGTTGAACTTGAAAAAGAACGTAAAGAATTGAAACTACAGAAGAATCTACCAGCCAAGCTAACACAAAGTGAAGCCGAACCAATAAAAGTATTTATTTGAAAAATGCCTTTATTATTTTTTCTTACTAAAAAATTTTAATTTAGAAAGCATGGTTAAAAGATATGGCATCAGGTTTATTTGATGATAATGATGTTGACAATGAACCAACAACAGAGAGTACGTCGTTAAATTCTGTTAGTGTTGGTAAACCGGTAACAGTTGAGACAAAAACTACTCAACAACGAAATAAAGAAAAAACTCATAAGAAAAAAGAAGCTTTAGCTAAAGCAGCGAAAGAAAAACGTATTCAAGATAATGAATTGTTTCGGTAAGAAAAAAGAATGATCAATATGTTTTTTGTTTTGTCTATTTGATAATCGTTTTTAGATTAAAATCTATTGGAAAAGAAATTAAATCCGCAGAACTTGGATATAAACAAAAAGGAGAAAAACGAAAAATTGAATATGCAAATCGAGAAAATTACGGTACGAAAAAATTCGGTAGATATAAATTCGAAGACGCAGATTTGGATTTGAACTTATCCGAAGAGATTACGGGCAATTTGCGAACATTAAAAGTAAATAAAAACATTTTTCATTTGAATTCATTGGCAACTTTTATTCAATAGGCCGAAGGTAATTTACTCCATGATCGATTCAAGTCATTACAAAAACGTAATATTATTGAAACACGTATTCGAGCAAAGTAAAGAATTTCGTTTAAATTTTACGGAAAAGTTTTCTATTCATTTCATGCTTTTTTAGACCAACAAAGACAAAGATGAAAAAATACGAAAGAAGATCTGTACGAGAAGTCGGGTATGACATTAAGACAAATTTTATTAGATAATTTTGAGAATTCTTTTCATTTCTAGAGTGGACTATCGGCCGAAATAAAGTGTTTTTTGTTGTTGTTTTGTGTTGATTGTTTTGATTCGTTCAAAATAAATAGAAAAAAAAGAGAAATAAATTTGTTTTTCCTTGTAATCATATAAGAACAATAGAGACAATTTCTTGTTACAGATGTACCAATTAAAAGAATTCTTTAGTTTATAATTAATCATGGTTATTCTCCATCGGGCATCGTCAGCATTGATATGGTATCGTTTAACATCGTGTCGATATAAACATCGTCTAAATCATCCAGGTGTTCATATTCCACATGGTGTACAATATAAAGTATCACAAAATCTTCCTGATGAATATGTTGACCATCCGCTATACCCAGCTGTTCGTTCGAAATATCCACCAGGTTTGATTTTAAGAAATTTCTCGTCTATTAATCTGTACGAAAAATCATAGGTTCTTGGGGTTCGATGGAGCCAAAAAAAGCTTGGATGCATTTTGAATTAGGAGAAAAACATTATCGACATTTAAAAAGTGTCAAAGAACGTTTAACTATAATGGCCTATCAAAATATGATGTGTTATTATGATAAATTAGATGTTGAGCAAATAGATTCTAAACTAATATGGATGGTCACTGGACGGCCACGTTCGCCGCGTAGTTTGCCTTTTTATAAACATATTACACGAACACATGTAACGGATGAATTACCAAAATTTTACGAACAAATGGATGTTGAAAGTCTTTTAACTTATGTTAAACCAATATTAATTGATCGGATATTAACGCATGAATACGCACAAAAAGATGATATACCATTAGAAGATATGTACGATAAAGGCGATTATAAAGTACCATCGATTATGAATGAAAAGCAACTTAAAATTGATCAAAGTCGAACAACTAATGTTTTAACAGATATGGTTCGCACTATTGTTAATGTTCTTGCTGAACATAAACCATATTTAAGAAAAGCACTTGTGAGTTGATCTCGGTTCTAAACGAAGAGAATGTCATATTTATGTTTTGAATTCGTCATTAGATTGGATCAGATGTACCTGTTGAAGCGTGGTGGAGTTTAAACCTTGACGGACAAAAATATGATCGTGCTAAATGGCATCATGATCAGAATACAACTAGTTTTCAATTTCGTGATAAAGCAGCCGTTCAAGTTAAAACTTCAAAACCATTAAAAAGCGTAAATTTACCTTTGTGATTGATTTATTTTTTAAACTTTTTCTATTTCGTTGTTTTTTATTTTATAGATAGTTGATCCTAATAGTACTCTATGTCAAACACCTGTCCCTCTGTGTCCATATCATCCACCAGCTTTCAAAGTCTTTACAGATCGCTATTTGCCAATGCAGATACCAGGTAATTAAAATTTTAAAAGATTTTCTTTCAATTCGTTTTCTTTTAAAGGACATTGGCACGGTGAAGGACATGATTTTAATCTTCTATCCATCTATTCAATGGATTCACTCTATCAACATGATAGTTATTTTAATGAAGACGAACTATTACCTAGTCTCATGTCTTGGATAGTTAATGCTGGCCATGCAGAGCTTTTAGCACAAGCTTATTATCTAGGGTTTTCAATGTGGAGAGAACCAACATATCCTTTAATAGCTCAAACCGCAGTTAGTAATCGTCGTCAATGGATATTTGGTGTCTATCAATTGAATACTATATCGCATTTTAAACCACATGATGCTCAAACAACATCAAATATTTGTTGGGTATCACCATTGATGAAGTAAGAAGTTGTTTTTTTTTCTAGATTTTTATATTATTTTTTATTTACCAATAGTCTCTATGACCGAGTTGAAAATGGTGAATTAGTCAATTTTAATGATGATGTTCTCCGTCATTTACTGCGTTTTATATTAAATGAGCCCATTATGGAACCGAACTGGAATTTAACACCTTATGTTGAAGATATATCAAATATAGATGAACGTTATAAAAAATTTATACGTAATCTTTATGAAGTTGTTAAACTTGAAAAACAAGATAGTCGCGAACACCACCGATGGGCTAAAATCCATCATGATACAACAGTATTCAATCGTCGTTATGCTATGATGACAACATTATTTAAAGATATCGTTTTTGACAATTGGCCACGGGAATGGTACGGACGAACATTGGAAAGAATCGAACGGAAAAAGAATATGCCCACATTTAAAGAGTATGATCTACTCATGTCTGTTAGTCGTTAGGTTGTTTTTTTTTGATAATAAATGAAAAGAAAAAAAATCGAAAAATATGCACCAATGGTAAATTATTTGTTCAACGGTAATACAAATATACAGCTCTCTAGTCAGAATCTACAAGATGGCAAAACAAGAATTGACTATTGAATACAGATGAAAAATAGAAGATGAATTTTTTCTCTGTTCACCTTCTATCGACTTTTGAACGTATTACACTCTTCAATCTTCTCTATGGAATTTTACTATTAAAGACTCTGAGCTGCTCTTCTATATTTTCACACAAACAACCACCTAATCAACGAATGTTTGGGTAGTTTGATCTCTCATAATATGCTCAGTTATATATCTGCACTGACTGATTCTATTTGTGAAGATCCATCAGTAGAGGAGTGGCACACCGATAAAGTTGCGGGAACGTTCACCTCAGTGGAACGATGACAGGAACAATAAAAAGTTGGATCATGAAGACAAGTGCTGTCAATATTGATGATTTCAAATGTGAGCCTGTCCGAAAGCTTTAAGAAACATTCTTATTTAGAGTTTCAAAAACAAATGTATCTATGAATATAAAATGACAAGATAATTCTTGAATTTTTATTTGAAACGAACCATTGATTTGATCCTCTGAAAATTAATTTTTTCACAAGTTATACACAACTATTCAACACATTTCTATACAATGCCACGTGTGACATGTCGATTAGATATTGCAAATTGTGCTATTCAATATCGCATTGACGATCCTACAATATTTGTTTCTCATTATCATTAATTGGAATAAGTCAAAATTCTTGTAAATATCTCTCAAGTTGATTTTTCACAACTAATTTCAAAATGTTTTATTATATAAATGAGTATCAAAGGCGGTAGAGAAAAATTTAACAATCATGTATGACTATTCTTTATGCATCATTCATCGATTAGATCAGCAGTCATAACAGCTGAAACGAACAAGTTCAAAGCACAGCTTGTCTTCCGGATATCAACGTAACTCATTCTCTCATTTTAATTTTTGCATTAATGTCGGTCATTCGCACCTTTTCTTTTCTTTTCCTCTCTTTCTCTCTCTCTCTCTTGATTGTGCACATATATATAGAGATAAACAGCAAACATACGATCATTTCTTCAATAGAATAATCATGGAAAATATGACAAAAGAAATATCTGAATTGCTGCAATGCATTCGTCATGTTGAAAACGAACACAACCAATTAGTTGACGAATATTTTCAAATAAGTACGTAGAAATTTTGAATCGCTTTCGTTTTTAGCACCTCGATGTTAAGAAAAAAAGAGTTATACGTGAAATTTAATTATAATTCTATTGTTTTAGAAAATCATGTAAAAGAAGCTTTAACAAACTTAAACAATGACCCATCATCGAGTCATTTAAATGCATATAATTATTATATAACCATATCTGAATCGCTCATGAAAAATATTCGCTTGAAACGGTAAAACAAAAACACTAAGAACGAAAATTTATTTTTCGTATTTACTTTTTTTGTTTAGATTATCATTAACAAATTTAATATGTAATTTACATGAACATGGAATTTATCTTGATGATGAAAGTGAAAGCGACAATGATATTAATAGCAGTGTCGATGAAGGTATCGATGAAAATTCGTTAAGTTTTATTGATCATAGTTCAAAATTGTCGAGTCTTGATAACAGTGAAAATAATATTAATAATGAAGGAATGATTGTAGATTAATTTCTTCTATGTTGTTTTTCATTTCATCAAGTATATTAATGTATTAAGAGCAATTTTCGATTTTTTTTGTTAATTTTGTGATCAATAAGCAATTGTTATTTTGTTGAAATAAAACTTCGAATGTGTGAAGTGCTTATTTGTTTGTTTTATGCGATGTTTTTTTCAATCGTTGAGATGATAAATAGAAAAAATATATTGTCGGCTGATTTCTCAAAATAGGTACGTGAGATAAGATTGAGAATAAACATTTCGTTTCAGCTTGACTAGCAGCTATAGCTAATAGATTTTAATGACCGGCAAAGGCATAAATTCTCATAGTGATTAATACACTCGTGGTCACATCTAGCGAATAAGATTTTTTCTTACGAAACATCCCTTCTCTGAAGTATCGGTGTACAAAGACTGAGAAATTACAATCCTAATTTGTTGAGCAATACTGTGATAAGTCATCGGATATTATTCATTGTTTAATGAGTAACTCGGTCAGCATGATAAGAAGACTACAAAGTTTTATGACAATGATAAACAGAGGAAGATATTGATAAAAGATTGGAAAAAACCGTCAAACTGTCTCTCTTATAAGCTATAGTCATCGTGATTTCATACATTTCAGCATCGGTGTAACATAACAAAGCTATTATGATTAAGAAATCAGCAAAAACAATGCTCTTCATTAACATTTTATTTACACTCTTCTTGACAAATTATTGTACGGTACAAGGGTAATGTATCGAAAGTTCATATTGTAATTTTCTTGCACCAACAAAAGAAGGGCTTAGATAAACAAGTGAGGTTGAGAGCGTATGCAAATACTTTCTTTTTATTCATCTTCAATCACTTGCGTCGCCGCACAAGATCATTGACTGACTTTGTGATATTCATTTTATATTTTTATTTAGTACTGCAAATGTACAACGGCGTTCTACTGCAAGCTTGCCTACTATTGACAGCGCTCAATTCGATTTAATTTGGATAGATGCCTGCATTTTCGAAGTGTCTGATGATTGTCGTCATACTCAGTCCCTTTTTCGAGAGCTGATTCCTGCTGCCAAATTCGAACTGGATGTCTACGACGCTGTCTTCACTATTAGCCGTACAAAATACACTGAGAAAAAGTTACTTCTTGTAGTGTCTGGTAAAAAAGCGTCATTCCTGCTTAGCTCTCTGGAGGAATATGATTTAAATGATCACATCGAAGCAATTTTCATCTTCTGCAATAAACCTGAGGATTACCAACACTTGCAACATGATAAACTTTTTGGTGTTTTTACAGATGCTAAACTTCTTATCGACACGGTTCGTGCAAGTATATTTGTGCATTCGAGTAAAAAAGTACAAACACCACCGAATCCTTTCGACGGGGTACAAACATGGTTTCGGTCGGCTTCAATGACCACATTACCACGCATTTGGCATAAACTTTTACTTGAGAATCTAGTTAGTCTACCTCGCGATGAACAGTCTAAACAGGATATGATTAAAAAAAGCAAAGAATACTTTGCCAAAGATATTAAGGAACTGAGACGTATCGAAGAGTTCAGCGCTGACTATAGCTCTGAATTGGCTATTCAATGGTATACAGCTGATTCATTTGTTCATAAACTCGTCAACCACGCGCTACGTAGTGAGAATGTTGATTTACTCTACGCTTATCGGTTTTTTATCAGTGATCTAAGCGCAGAGATCAAACGCTGGCAAACAGTGCAACNGCAAAGAATACTTTGCCAAAGATATTAAGGAACTGAGACGTATCGAAGAGTTCAGCGCTGACTATAGCTCTGAATTGGCTATTCAATGGTATACAGCTGATTCATTTGTTCATAAACTCGTCAACCACGCGCTACGTAGTGAGAATGTTGATTTACTCTACGCTTATCGGTTTTTTATCAGTGATCTAAGCGCAGAGATCAAACGCTGGCAAACAGTGCAACAAACAGATTCTGGAACAGTGATATCAAAAATCAAAAATGGATTAGGCTCTCGAATAAAGTTATTTAGTGGTCAGCGACTACGGAAAGGGGAGTTAGAGAAACTAAAACAAAGTATAGGTACTATTATTTCCATCAATGGTTTTCTTTCAACGTCGATGGATTTGAGCGAAGCAAAAGAGTTTACCAAACGAGCAATGCAATTTCCCGACATGCAACAAGTAATTATTGAGATTTCATTTGATACTTCACTACAAGAAATGAACGTATTCGCCGAAATAGCATATCAGTCAAAGTATAATGAAGAAGAAGAGGTGCTATTCGATTACAATTCTCTGTTCAATGTAACGGATGTGAAGTGTGATCTGTATAGCAGTATTTGGACGGTAAAAATGACATCTCTTTCTAAGAACGCAATCAAAGAACATCCGTATTTAAACACCATTCGAGAAAATTTTGTTGAGAATCACTCGGGAACCGTTGCATTTGGCATCATCATGGCACACGGTTTTGATAAAGCAGAGCAAGTAATTCGTTATTTTGATCAAATGCTACTCAATTTACCGCATCATCATGTTGATGTGCCTGATATTTTGCAACAACGAGCTATTTTATATCAAGAGAAAGGTGAACATGCATTGGCTTTACAAGATTATGAACGGGCGCTTGAAATTCGTCGACAACGTATTCAAGAGAATCTCTTAGGTATCAGTTCTCTCAGTGGTGATATTGGTCGTCTTCATTCAACAAAATCCGATTTTCAGGCTAGTATGAAGAGCCACCAATTAGCAATGAGTACTTATGAACAATTATATGGTACAGAAAAGGATCATATAACGAAAGCAAAAGTTAACGAAAGCATCGGTCTGACTTATTATCAAAGTGGCAATGCATCGAAAGCGCTTGAATATCTAGCTCACACTCAGGTTGCATACAAGCAGCTTTTGCCTGAAAAACATTTATTACAAATTGAACTTCTTGGTCATATCGGAGCGATTCATGAAGAAATGGGAAATTTAAGTTTGGCTGAAAAATTCTTCCGTCGCCAGTTAAATTGGAGTGAGACAGTATTACCAGTCGATCATCCACTGATAATTACATTTCTCGAGTCCATCTATCGAATTCACTTGAAGATGAACCAAACGTTAAATATTAGTGAGATCTTCACTGGGCATTTGGGTAAACTCCAAAAAATACTTGAACCGCAGGATGCTTTAATATCTCGTGTTCTTTTCATGGCTGCTTCCTTGTTTGAATCATCAACGCCAGCTGAAGCTATAATAGTTTATGAACAAACTATTGATCTCAGTCAAATTTCAACGCAATTGGGTCGGTCGACCATGTTAAAATGTCATAAAAAGCTTGTAGAAATGTACAAAAAATCAGGAGACTTAGCAGCAGCACTCGAGCACGCAAATAAAGCACTTGATCTTCAACGGCAATTCTCATTCGAAGAACGAAACATTACTGCGGAAGCCGATGCACTGTACACTGTTGGATTAATCCATATAGAAATGAATACGCCAGCGGAAGCTCTTCCATATTTAATGAAAGCTCTAATCATCTATCAATCGACGCACATGTTAGATCATCCTAGTATCCAAGTAGTATTAAATAGTATTGCAGAGGCGGTCAACCGAACTCTATCACTTAATTCTGAATAGATATTAACAAGCAAAATCATATGCTCTTTTTGAAGTTATTGCAAGAAACTATAAACTTAACACTCGGTGATAGCAGAGACGATCATGAAAGTCGAGTAAAGAACAGATATATCAAGAGAATTTTATTTCATTCTGTTTTTTTTTTGTTTTATGAAAATCTATTGAGAATATTTTTCAAAATAAATAATTATTTAATCTCACTTTGTTAAGGAGAAATCACTGCTCCTGCTTATGTGTTCGAGGAAACAAATTCTATGAATACTAATGATCCATTTAATAGTATAACTATATTTTGTTATTAGAAGAAAATTATTCATCATTGCTTCACAAAAATATGTGTCATTTATTTTCTGCGCGTTGTTTTTTCTTCATCGATAAAGAAAGAGACAAGAGAAAAATAATTTTTATTTCGCATGTTTTTAATGCACCGTATCGGAAAAGGTGTGTCGCGTGGTGACGGTACGACATTTTATCGAAATTTTTTTCGACTTTTTTTAATGCTATTGTCGGCGCGAACTTGTCCAAGCTATCCGTAAAGCTGGTGTTTATATCGAACTTGATTAACGATCTTCATTTTAAATTGTTTTGAAAAAATATCATGGTATTCTTGCGATGGTCGATATCTCTGTAAGCAGACGTTAGAGCTTCATTCATATGGATTCATTTTGTATCAAACTTTTAGCTTTAAAACAATCGAGTATCGCATATAGTATCAGGACAAAGCATTTTTATCGAATGATATATGCAACCGTTAAAATAAATTTTTACCATTCAGAGAAACATGTGTAGAAGTGTTTGAGTGTTTCGATGTAGATTTTTATGCCAAATTTGAATATAACAATGTTTATTTTCCGTCGTGATGAAGTTTTAGCATCACTAAAGCAAAATTTTTTCAAAACAATGAAGACAAATATGGTAAAGGTGAAAGTTCACGTTTTTCTTAGCGGTTTTTTTTTCGACTATTTCCTAGTGACGTCATCTTACTAAACGAGTACCTGCATGTGCTGAATCATTACGATCATACGTTGTGTATATTATATTTCAGCAAAGTAAAAAGGAAAGAAACAAAAAGCTTTCTGACTTTTGAAAACGAATCGTCTAAATTCTTTTTCTCGCTTAAAAACAGATATAAAATTGCTTAAAAAAATCATTGAACGTGGTTCTTTTTCAACGAATTTTTCTAGATACTTACATAGAATGTTTGGAAATCTTGAAATAGCTGAATTATCTTCATCCAACGCTGGTCCACGAACGCAGTTAAATCTACATACTAGTGTAGTACATAAAATCTACAAAAATATCGAAGAAATTAATGCGTACGTGAGGACTCACTCTAGCATCTTGCTATTTTGTGTTCTGGTGAATTTAAATGATCAAAACATCCATGTAGATTTAGACTATCTAATAAGTGAATATTGTGTATTAGCTATTTTTGTCTCTGGAAGTCTACCCTATAATAGTCAATTGAATGGCCAGAAGATTTTTCCTGTTCAGAAAGAACTAGCTGCATCTAAAATAAAATCAGGCATCATTCAATGTTTGAAAAAAGCTGCTAGAGAACGATTGCAATTGAATGATATAATGGGTGGACTATTTCTCATGTGGAAATCTCATGATCTGGAACATACAATGTTTACAAATTCTCAGGTAGTAATTGTTGATGAACTTAAATTTATAATATGATTAAAAAATGAATTAAAAGGTCGATCCTTGTCATGTATTAATTATTCCTTTGAATACAACATATGGCAATGGGACTGATTTTCAATGCAGTTTCATAACATTATGTGAAGAATAATTAGAGCTTTCATTCATATTATGACTTCTTTTTTCTCTCTTAGGTAATAATCTATTTCCTGATTATAAGCCAATAGTTTCTCCAATTTATGATTATTTGCCTCCTAATGATAATAATGACTTTTATGAAAATCCAGATGCAAATATCCTTTGTAACTATGTGAAAAACACCTTTCCGATTCGAATATATCTGATTGGAAATGAAACTTGTATTCCGGATTCTATGTGTAAATATATTTTTGAACATGATGAAACATATACACTTGTTGAAAACGAGCCGATCAGTGACAATATTAGAATGAATCTACACACTATCATTAATTTTGGAAGGTCATTAACACATCCCATAAAGCAGTTATACGAATTTGAAAATGATTGTGAATTTTTTTGTGCTATGAAGCGTGCCGATGCTGACCGCAAAGAACGAATAAAGCGTGCTGCTTTAGAGATGGGAAGACAGATTGCAATACGTTCAGAAAGTCCTATAGGATTCAGTAATAAAGCACGTAGAACAATAAAATCGAAAAGTCTCCTTTCTGTTATTTGATCTTTTATTTTTTATTGTTAGGATCATCTGATCACATCGGCTAACGACGGTCCTGGGAATCACACTGATGATGCTAGTGATGGAGACATCAATGATAAGATTCAGGATGAATTTGAATAAACTTTATCTTCATTCATACAATTATTTTTCGAAAAGATTTTTAAAACTTCATGTTAAGCAATATTTTTGCTAGATTTTGGTATGTTCTCGCTATGTCTGAAATAAGTTATATATGAACGTAGAACAAATAGACTTTAATATGTTTATACAGAGTACGTGTAAAAACTACATTCATTAATAAAACGATATATTTTATCTACAAAATACACCCACACCGTCAAGATATTTTCACACAGCGTTGATTTATCTGCGAGATTTAACAGCAACAATAGATGCTGTTCGCCATTTTTATGATGTCGTATTTCATGACTTGAGTAAACGAAAGTAATTAGTTGAAAACAAATGGCACACTGTTCGGAATTTTCTTGTAGAGCAATATTTCATTTTTACGAAGTTTTTAGTAAATTTAGAACTTTCAAATCAAGAAAAAGAAACTGCTTTTTCACGATGCCGTGCAAATAAATCGGCTTGAAGTGCCATGCTTATAAAAATAAATGTCGATGAAGCGAAAAATATTATTAGTGTTGCAACACGAAAATAAATAAAACAGAATATGAGTAACCGATTGTTAAATATCAAAAGTTTTTTAAATTAGTACTAATATTAGTACCGGGCGACCCAAAAGTTTTGCAACATTTTTGCTTTTACATGCATCTCAGTTCAGATAACAGAGAAAATTTCAACTTTAATTTTAAAAGAAGCGCGATTCAATCCTCGACAAATTTGTATCCACCTTAATTTAAAATAATAGAACTGAACGTTCTTACGGATAGAATAATGTGACTACATAAATTGCATCTACGTCCCATACAGTATTTTTAATAAATTATTTTTCCTATCGAAACGAATATATCGTTTGAAAAAAATAAGACACTGGTAGATAACTCTTGAAAGGATATGTGGATTTAACATGTATTTAACATTCATACGTTCGATTAGACGCAATTTCTCGGAATGCAATATTTTGAAATACGACGAAATTTTCTCTCTCGATTCTTGCTTTTCAGAAAAAGACTTTTAAAAGTCATCTATGGTCAAACCGAGTTCATTTTCCCAACATTTTATAGAAAACCGATTTATCATTCTGCTTAGAGCTTACACAACAGGTGTCAAAACGATTCAGTTCGAGGAAACGTCTGAACATTTCCAAGAATGTTGTTTTTGCGATAATATTTCATATAGACAACTTTTATTAGACATAAGTGGATTTAAATCAAACGCAGATAAATAACTCTGAAACAGCACTGATGCGTGACGTTCAGTTCTATTATTTTATATTAAGGTGAATACTTTGTAGAGGATTGAATCGTGTTTCTTTTAAAACTAAAGTTGAAATTTTATCTGTTATCTGAAATGATATATATGTAAAAGCAAAAATGTTGCAAGACTTTTGGGTCACCCGGTATTGCTTATCTCCACTGGGGTGACAGTCTAGATGTGTCACAACCATCGTGTATATTACAGTTATTTCATTATAGCATACAAGGAATTGTCGAGAAATTCATATTAACCAGTTTTTGCATACCCACTGTGCCCAGTTGATGTCATTGTGATGATGTCTAACAGCATGCATTCTCACAATGACTCGCACTCCGCTTCACATCTTGTGGATCAGAAATTTAACTACGAAGCGCTGATGGACACTGTGATTCACAGTTTTATGGGTAACTCAGACAACACCATCAAGATTCAATGAAATATTTCAGAATACAAGAGGAAGGAAGGACGAGAAGAGTCAAAAATAGTTCGAGAAATTCCTCGCGGCATCTGTTCTCTAAACGACATTTATCGTCATTTCCATAGATTCTAACATCGGTGTAACATAACAAAACTATTATGATTAAGAAATCAGCACAAACAATGCTCTTCGTTAATATTTTAGTTACACTCTTCTTCACAAATTATTCTACGGTAGACGGGTAATATATTCAAAAATATTTTGAACCATAACTGATTCATCATTTTCTGTGAGTCACTGATGTAAACAAAAAGTAATTCGGAACTTTATTTCAAACGTTTTGATATTATAATTTTCTCGCAACAACAAAAGAGCTTAAATGAAGGTGTGACATTGAGAATGTATGCAAGTACTTTCTTTTTATTCATCTTCGATCACTTGCCTCGCTGCACAAGAGATTTGCAGAAGTTTCTGATATTCCCTTTATATTTTTATTTCGTACCGAAAATGAACAACGTCGTCCTGCTGCAAGCTTGCCTACTATTGACAGCGCTCAATTCGATTTAATTTGGATCGATGATTGCATTTTCGAAGCGTCTGACGACTGTCGTCATACTCAGTCACTTTTTCGACAACTGGCTCCTATTGCCAAATTTGAATCGGATATCGACAACGCTATCTACAGTATTAGCCATGCAAAATACACTCAGAAACAGTTTCTTGTTGTGGTATCTGGTAAAGAAGCGTCACTCCTGTTTAGCTATCTGAAGTACTATGATTTAAATGATCACATCGAAGTAATTTTCATCTTCTGTAACAAACCTGACGATTACCAACACTTGCAACATGATAAACTTTTTGGTGTTTTTACAGATGCTAAACTTCTTATCGACACGGTTCGTGCATGTACATCTGTGCATTCGAGTAAAAAAGTACAAACACCACCGAATCCTTTCGACGAGGGACAAACATGGTTTCGGTCGGCTTCAATGACCACATTACCGCGCATTTGGCATAAACTTTTACTTGAGAATCTAGTTAGTCTACCTCGCGATGAACAGTCTAAACAGGATATGATTAAAAAAGGCAAAGAATACTTTGCCAAAGATATTAAGGAACTGAGACGTATCGAAGAGTTCAGCGCTGACTATAGCTCTGAATTGGCTATTCAATGGTATACAGCTGATTCATTTGTTCATAAACTCGTCAACCACGCGCTACGTAGTGAGAATGTTGATTTACTCTACGCTTATCGGTTTTTTATCAGTGATCTAAGCGCAGAGATCAAACGCTGGCAAACAGTGCAACAAACAGATTCTGGAACAGTGATATCAAAAATCAAAAATGGATTAGGCTCTCGAATAAAGTTATTTAGTGGTCAGCGACTACGGAAAGGGGAGTTAGAGAAACTAAAACAAAGTATAGGTACTATTATTTCCATCAATGGTTTTCTTTCAACGTCGATGGATTTGAGCGAAGCAAAAGAGTTTACCAAACGAGCAATGCAATTTCCCGACATGCAACAAGTAATTATTGAGATTTCATTTGATACTTCACTACAAGAAATGAACGTATTCGCCGAAATAGCATATCAGTCAAAGTATAATGAAGAAGAAGAGGTGCTATTCGATTACAATTCTCTGTTCAATGTAACGGATGTGAAGTGTGATCTGTATAGCAGTATTTGGACGGTAAAAATGACATCTCTTTCTAAGAACGCAATCAAAGAACATCCGTATTTAAACACCATTCGAGAAAATTTTGTTGAGAATCACTCGGGAACCGTTGCATTTGGCATCATCATGGCACACGGTTTTGATAAAGCAGAGCAAGTAATTCGTTATTTTGATCAAATGCTACTCAATTTACCGCATCATCATGTTGATGTGCCTGATATTTTGCAACAACGAGCTATTTTATATCAAGAGAAAGGTGAACATGCATTGGCTTTACAAGATTATGAACGGGCGCTTGAAATTCGTCGACAACGTATTCAAGAGAATCTCTTAGGTATCAGTTCTCTCAGTGGTGATATTGGTCGTCTTCATTCAACAAAATCCGATTTTCAGGCTAGTATGAAGAGCCACCAATTAGCAATGAGTACTTATGAACAATTATATGGTACAGAAAAGGATCATATAACGAAAGCAAAAGTTAACGAAAGCATCGGTCTGACTTATTATCAAAGTGGCAATGCATCGAAAGCGCTTGAATATCTAGCTCACACTCAGGTTGCATACAAGCAGCTTTTGCCTGAAAAACATTTATTACAAATTGAACTTCTTGGTCATATCGGAGCGATTCATGAAGAAATGGGAAATTTAAGTTTGGCTGAAAAATTCTTCCGTCGCCAGTTAAATTGGAGTGAGACAGTATTACCAGTCGATCATCCACTGATAATTACATTTCTCGAGTCCATCTATCGAATTCACTTGAAGATGAACCAAACGTTAAATATTAGTGAGATCTTCACTGGGCATTTGGGTAAACTCCAAAAAATACTTGAACCGCAGGATGCTTTAATATATCGTGTTCTTTTCATGGCTGCTTCCTTGTTTGAATCATCAACTCCAGCTGAAGCTATAAGATTTTATGAACAAACTATTGATCTCAGTCAAATTTCAACGCAATTGGGTCGGTCGACCATGTTAAAATGTCATAAAAAGCTTGTAGAAATGTACAAAAAATCATGAGGCTTAGCAACAGCACTCGAGGACGCAAATAAAGCACTTGATCTTCAACGGCAATTCTCATTCGAAGAACGAAACATTACCGCGGAAGCCGATGCACTGTACACTGTTGGATTAATCCATATAGAAATGAATACACCAGCGGAAGCTCTTCCATATTTAATGAAAGCTCTAATCATCTATCAATCGGCGCACACGTTAGATCATCCCAGTATCCAAGTAGTATTAAATAGTATTGCAGAGGTGGTCAACCGGACTCAATCAGTTAGTTTTAAATAGTTTTCAGAAATTGCGAACTTAAGACTAGATTAGATATTATGGGGAACTATATCAGTCGTGTTCTCAAGTATAGAGATGAAGAATTTAGATTTTCATGTCGCACCGCAGTCTATTTATGATCTCGCTGAAAATGTTCTTTTTTTTATATACCCCATTGTGAAGCTCGCGTGACTCTTTTATTAATTCAGTTCCTTTTTCTCTGAAGAATAGAAGCTATTGTCTTATTTATTGAAGTTAGAGTGAAGATCTAGTTTCGTTGTTACAGGATCGATCATGGCTCCCGGTTGTATTTAATCCATGAAATGAATTCAAATTATATGTTTTCCAACATCTTCTAAATGTACTTCTGTAAATGAAAAAAATTTGTGGATGCTCTTCATTTCAAAATAACAAAAATCTGTCTAACATAACTTTTTCTTGCGATTTACACATTCAGGATTGCACTGTGTCATAATATGTTGTCAATTGTGGCTTACTAGTATTTGATCACATGTTTGGTATAGAATTTTTACAAGACAACGGCTATCTTGTATTTTTTCTCAAAAATTGTGTTTTCGTCGCCTCTTTAAGCAATGAAAGCCGGCGGTTGTCTATCTTCTTTTTCTTCCGACTAAAACAAAATTATATGACGATGACAATATAATACGGCTTTGGAAATTCCCTTAGTTTCCGCCTTCTCTTCATCATAGTGTAAGTACTAAACCTATGAATAGTTTCCTTCGTGTTTGTAGTGCATGAAAATAAACCTGCACGACTTCACGTTCAAATAGATCTTGATGCACACTTATTTTCTTCAATACGTTCTTATTATTGTAACCCTTTCAGTAATCATACACACAATGGGATTTATGATGAATTATTTCTGTCAATAGGTTTTCCTCATTTTGAACATGGTAACATTATGGTAAACTCATTAATCAAGTTTATCGTTCTCATAGGACAGGTCAAATTGATTAAATGTCTAATATCGATAATATATAAGTTTCATCGCTTAGTTCGACTTAAGAGTACTTGATAAAATACCTTAAAAATGCTAATCTATTTTTTCCTTCTAAATAAATTTTATTTTATGGATATTATCAATCAAGTAAAACTTCATAGGCATAAATATAAATAGCAAAAGAATAAAAGAACTGTTCATCAGTTAATTTTGTCGGTGTTGTCGATTATAATTAAAAGAAAATTCATTTTTTTTTGCTGACGATTGTTGAGACGAACTAGCAAGGCCAATTGTTGCTCGACTTCGACGTTGAGAAGAATAGACAACACTAAGCGCCGTTGGTTCAGATAGGCTACGGCATGAAACATAACCTTCGCAAGAATATTCCGGCGACCATTCAACACAAGGACAGTAACGAAATACACTGCGGAAGCCATTCCTGAATCTTTACAGAGAAAAAAAATACGAATATCATAGATAAGAATATGGTTACCTGTTATTCATACAACAATAAAGAAATGGATTGTACATTGAATTTGTCATAGCAAAAAAATACGATATAAGATAGGCATAAGGTGTACCTGACAATGTAGGTATCGATGGAAATAGAGAAAGGAGAATGAAATAAAGTTGCTGAGGAAACCTGAAAGAAAAAACAGTTTTGTTGTTAAAATACTTATTCATTTATTAATTTACCAACAAATGCCAAAGATTAATACAACAGCTATAAGCATTTTAACAACTTTTCGTTTTGATTGAACCGTATCGCGTTGTCGTTTTGTCACTTCTCCGATAGCTGAAAATATAAAAATCAGAAAAGATTAAAAACTTTAAAAAAAGACAATTCCCCAACCAGTTTGTCCCCAGAGCTCAACAGCTATTCTTGTGTACGTTATTGTTAATATAATAATAGGACACACATATGTCACCGAGAAAAATATCCATTCAAATCTAAAATAAATTTGGTCGGCTACACGCAAACTGCCAAAAATAATTTGTTTTTTTTACCTATCAAGGCTATCGTCTTTGGCAAGCTTACAATCGCTTGTAGCGTGACTATATGAGAGAATTGCGGGCGATGATACAAGAAACGAAAGTATCCAAATGCTACATATAATCATAATCGTTTGTTTATGAGTTAATTTGGTTCGTAAGGGATGTATAATTGCAAAGTATCTGTCTAAACTAATTGCTACATATGTAAGAACATTGGCAGCAATTGATATATGAGAAACAGCTTGTACCCAAAAACACATAAAACTTCCGAATGGCCACGGTACTTGCACTACCATATAATACCCATTAAAAGGGATATTAAATATAGCATTGAGTATATCCGCATAAGCCAAATTAATAAGAAAATAATTCGTCGGAGTTCTCATACGACGATGTGCAAGTACAATCCATATTACAATACTATTTCCGGTAACAGCCAAAATTACAACGACAGCAAATAGGAGTAGGAAAATGCACTAGAATTAAATGTTCAATAATACAAAAAAAGAGACCTGTTTTTAAGAATATCCAAGAAAATTTTCTCGAAACAGATAAATAATAAGGACATACTTGTACAATTATAGGTAATCCTGCGTTTGTATTATCGTCGGTTAGAGAATTGTTTGTTGTATTATTCACATCCATTGTAAAAACACGTTTTTGTTTCCTTTGATGATGTTTATTTGCGTATCATTTATTTCAACACTTCCGTTGTAGTCTAAACTTGTTAGGTGTATATAGTAACTTAGTAGATGAATAAGAGAATCTGATTTTAGTCTTCTTGTTGTTTTGTTCGTCTTTGCTTCTTCGTCGTCTTCTTCTCCTTCTTCTTCTTCTCCTTCTTCTTCTTCTTGCTCTTCTTTATCTTAGTCGTTTTGCATTTGAATGCCTTTCTTAGCATCATCAGCGTTCCCTCTTTGCTTATTCATTACTTGTCGAAAACTTGTCCTGACAGGCCGCAGGGCGAAAATGTAAGAGTATAAAGCAACGAGCAGAGAAAGCGACAATGCCCATTTTTCAAAGACAACAAAAAAACAAGAAGAAATAAGAAGATGAAGATCATAAATCGATCTCAAAATTTCTTCATCAATGGTGACATATTTCTCTTCATCTCTCTGTCTCTCTCTCTCTCTCTATGTGTGTCTCTATCTTTTAGCCTTGCGCTGTCCGCAGATGTTTAGTTGATTGGAAAAAAATGTGAATACGAATTTTGCTTTGTCTTTTGTCAGATGCCATAAGACAAGAGCGAGGAAAAAAGACGATGGTCTTCTACTCTGATTATGCGTAAATTACTGTTTATTTCATGGGAAAACAGAAACAGAGAGTGTCAAAAAAACCTTTTAAACTTTTCTCACTCGCAACATCTCTATTACGGTCGAATCGATCCTCAAGACGGAAGAGACTAAGTAGCGTATGACCGGAGGGTAATGAATGAGAATCTGCAATCAAGTTGTACTTGACTAGTTGTGGAAGCAGTTTCTTTCTTTCTTAATATAACATCAGATTCTATAAATATATCTGTATACATATTCTATGCATGAATACACTTCAATGTAACATAATAACTATGAATTGTTACGATTTATTCTTTTATGTCATCAGGAAATCATTGAAAGTCCCGTTGGCAAAATGGCAATCAAAATTCAGATATATGATTATGTCTTTTATTCTTCTATTCTGTTCAAAAATTTTGGAGAAAAATAACGCTTCTCGTTTATTGATAATATGTAACACTAATAGAGTATGCGCGAATTCACGGTTCCATCTCAGAATTAATTTAATTTAAGAGGGAAGATTATTAATCGACGTGCGATACTTTCATAGTCAATTTTTTCAATAGAAACAAACTATATCCATCTATGCTTGACAACTGTTCGGTCTATTGGCGGAATAGCTTCATACAGGTGCCAATGATATGTTTGTCTAATAGAACTCTGATTTAATTTCGACTATAAAAAAAAGGAATGTGCTGAATGTAATAAGCCATGGATGTTTCCAATAAATGAATAGTTTCCGCTATTATTCGTCTGATTATTATAGAAATACAGAGTTTTGACAACATTTGCTTTCTTTTGTCTTATACGAACTGATTTAATATTATACAAGATTTGCATATAAATCAGAAAAACTAACATGTTTACATGGAGTTAATTTATGATCAAGGACTTTCAAAGAAAATATTGAAGAAATAGCTCTGTCATAAGAATTTTTCAATAACTTTGCATGGACGAAGAATAAAATTATGATCATATACGTCATTTTCACTGGAGAATTCATTTTTTAACAACGAATATAAGAATGATATGTTATCTACTTTTGTTATTCGAAAAAAATTATCCTTTCAGTCTTCAAACATTTTTAGTCCCACTAAAAATACTTATTCAGCGAGTACAAAGTTCTTGCGTGTTTCTCCGAGAGAATATCTATTCACAAGCACTGGGGTAAGTACTGTTAATACTGTTTTATATGCTTGATGTTTTCTTGCAGAACACAAATGTACTATCGAGTACAACAACACGTTGAAGTTATGTAATAAAGAAAAATGCTAAAATTAGATTAGAAAACAAAAGAATATGTCGTCTAATGAACTATTCATACGATGCATTATATTCTTTAGACTGAAACAGAGAGAGAGAGTGAGACTTTTGTTCAACGTTCTCTTTGACATTTTGACGATGCAAATTTTACTAATATGAACGATAGAAAAATCAGATTTTGAAGAAAATATTTAATAGCTAGAGAAAACAAAAGCTATCGAACGATCTTGTTAATATTGCCGAAGATAAACAGCTCCGTTGTGTCATACAGCCATGCTAAGACAAGCTATAGAGTTTTTACTATTGAATATGAATGACCGGCGTACTCAAAAATACCACACAAAACTATTAAAGAAATGCTGAAAGTTATCCCCCCAAGTACTAAGATGCTTGCTAAATATTCAAGATGATTATTCTCTATAAATGTCATGTCTAACACATGAAATAAGTAGCTATTTTAAGAATCTCAATAGCCTATACTTAATGTTCCGGTTATTCTTCCGAAATGATCCATATGCAACAGACAAAATCAAAAATTATTTATGTGCCAACAGAGATATTACTGATACCACATTTTTAGTATAAGACTAAACATTACCAGTGAATTTACTGATATTTTTAAACGATACCGCTTTTTGTTTTGTCTTTGACACAAAGAATATTTTATTCATAGCCGAACATTTGTCTTCAACTCAGTAAACTTTCTTATTTTTACGCACGCCATTTGGAATTTTAAATATATTCATTATTATTATTATTTATTCATTTATAAACATCTTAATGCGCTCACACTCTTATTTATCATAGGTTGTCAACTGCATATTTTAGCTCCAATTCAGGTTATCGGCAACTCTACCTTTTTTCGGCTGACTCTCATTCTTTGCTTTGGGGAAATAGCTACTGTCGAAACAATTACATTTTTATGCACGAATCTAGCCCACACTGTTATAACACGTGATTGCGACGGATTTATATCGCACCTGCTATAAAATTCAATTGATTTCTAAGAACCCTTTCGGCAATGAAATCAAGCATACGTCATCTGTTCGATTAGAAAAAGTGTCGCTTAGATGCTTTTCTAATTATTAAAAAAAATAAGTTGTATGTTCACTGATGTTTAAAATACTCAAGAACGAGAATGGGAAAATTACATTTCTGCGTAACCTTTACAATCATCTAAAATTCCCCTGTAATTAATTAAAACGGCGTAAGCTGAAGTATCTCATGACAAATTACACAAGTGCAGTATTTTCTATTGTTATATCATACCATAATTGGTTTCAACGATTACGCATGCGGGTCATCACTCAAATTGTGAAACATAATTTTTAATTAAAAACGGTTGCAGGGAACTTTTCAAAGAAAATAACTCCAGGCGGAATTTTTACGTGCGCATCTTTTAAAACAGGAGCTTATCTGATTTTTGCGACTACAGACACAATGACTTGATTGATAAACAAAGCTCTACGCGTTCATGTCCTAATGAAATGTATGGCGTCGATCCTTCACCTTTCGATAGTCCGTACGTGGGAAAATCTTTTCGGTTGATTCGTTGGTTACAAATCGCGCCAATATAAACTTTTTCTTAGTCAAGTTCTTAACTAAAGGCGGCAGGGTTTTTTTCTCGAAAGCTTATATTATATCATAACAATATGCAGAATTTCGAGTTCAATATGCTCTTATGTCGAGCCTAACAGATACGTCAGACTGGCATGCTATTCTATTGATTGAAGTTTTTTTCTTTTCATTTAGACTCTGGTGGGAGTTTGATTCAAGATAATCGACCGGTAGCTTTCAAGGATCAAACTTGAATAATATAAAACATTTCCTCTTTCTGTATTTCAATAATCTAGATATAAATTCTCTTTTCTTCTAAACAAAATGAAAATATATAATTATTTTACAGATTTAGTTATAAGTAGTTTTGTTTCGAGCATAACTCTGATTCATGTATGGAATGTTTATGCTGACAATAGGCTGATTCTTATTCGCTATTATGAACTCGGTTTGATATGTATCGAGAAAATTTCTGTGAAAAGAAATTCGTCAGATTAGGTATATCAGTCGTCAAGTATTATATTAAGATTGTCGCTTGCAATATTTGTATAACAATTGTTAAATTTTTCAAATAGTTTGAATGTTTTTATTTTTATTTTTCCTCTGAGAAGATATTATACGTTTATGGTACTTCGTTAATGAGACTACTCTGATACCTATCGGGAATATCATACGCACTGATTTTTCCACTGAATAAATATTTCCTATCGATTTATAATGCGAAAAACACGATATAATTGTTATTTGCAACGTCAACGAGAGAGCCGTCAAGTTGTACGAAACAAAAAACTTCTTGGTATGATTGACGGTAGAATTTTCGGATTCTCATTCAACTATAAAAAAAAAAGATTTTTTTTTCCTAATATCATTACAATTATGAATTCATAATGTTTTAGCAATTCAAAACTTTAAACAAAAATATTCATTCGTATTCGTCCATCGATATCTAATAGATCCATTTTATTAACATGCAATACTTATTTTACTACAATTTTATTTTGTTTAACGTTACTTTATGCAGGTTTACATAGCATTGATTTCATTAACAGATCGATGGTGTGAATTTCGTCGCTATGTACCATTGGTTTGTTTTTGTGCTTTTTATTATTCGTTTGTTGTGCAAGCTACTTTTCGATTTTCTCGAGTTGTACATAATAAAAGGAGAACTGTCTACAACAATTTTATCTATTTATTATTGCTATTTCTGTGCAATTGCTTCTATCGTTTCTTTTTCTTCTTCCTCACATATTACTACATGATTTTCAATATCAATCATTTGATTGTGCCTGTTGAATTTCATTTAGAAATATTCAAGGAATTGTATTAATTACATATGAATGTCCTTTATTGGTTATATTTATAATATACGGTTATTTTCATTCTTCGTTATGTTCGTCGAACATGGCTACTCAACGAGAGCGACAACGAGACGCAATTTTTTTACGACGTATTGCTTTTCTTTTTCTGTTTTTAGTTCTATTCTGTGTTACAACACTATCTATTTGGTGTGCCGTAGAAAGACCGAAAGGAAAAATGTCGAAAATTTGCACTAAGATGTTTTTATTCTTGAAATCATAATAGCATCATAGAATATATCATAGGTAAATAAGAGCTATAAAGAAAAATACACATATCCAATGTTTACTACGCTAGTTTTCATTATAAGATATTACTTATCAATGGTTAACAGTGTCAAACCAATGGAATAATCAGATTAACAACAATGAACAATAAACTATTAGAACCTTCATTTAGTAGAGACGTCGCTTTTTTCTATCTTTTCTGTTTTCGACATTTTCCCTTTCGGCCTTTCTACGGCCAACCATCTATTTTAGTTATCTATTCAATTACTAGTTATTTAATACCATTTGCACATGAAATACAAATAGTTAATACATCAATTGGTCTTGTTAGTACACCGATTACATTAATATTTACTACACCAAGAGCACGACATATATTTCAACTAAACACAAATGTTCACTGTCTTCCGGTATCTCGAGGATGAAATTATACTTTTTTTTCTGAATATCAACTTCAACTACACTTAACTTAGTCAGATAAAATTTATCAATAGAGAAACTGACAATTCTCTATAAGTCAGGATTCACTTGCTACTAGAAAACAAGTAAAATTTTGACTGACACATTGGCACAATCTATATTTGGATCGATAACAGATGTTCAACGATTCCAATGGATATCACACGTCAATGAGAATTATCACTTTTGACGATTTAATTTCTTTTTAGAAATTCTATTTGATCAAGGCTTATTATAGGAGATGATATTTAGAGAAGCCACTCAATACGTTATTCAACTTAAATAAACAATAAAGTCATTGTCTATTATCTAATCTGTGGATTAGATATGTGAATATCGGTTAATAGTTGTTGAGTAATCAATGTTTCAAATATAAACGAAAAAGAGTCATCTTCGTTTGTTGGTCGCTCATTGTAAAAAAACAAAAACTTATTTTTCACATTATGAGACTGAAATTTATGCTTATCCCCAATGCTGTGAGCATACTAAATTTTAAAATGAACTTAATTTCCAATTATTCCATATTAATGTCCTGACGTAAAATGACGTATTAATAAATTTCAAAAACGTAATCATTTGTGAAGTCATTAACGTCGTATTGAAATAATTCTAAGCTTGATGTTCTTCAATTGTGTCAAATGCAGCATCAAAATAAAAACAATCAAGTACTACCACAATCAGCATTTATTCATGTGACAGACATCGTCAACCCTAATTTGAAAACAATCCTTGAAACCCCAGGATGCCAATGTAAGAGATTGTCACCATAGAAATAACACTGACATCGAATACATATTCACGTTCATTATTACTCTCTCAGGATATCAAGTAGGGTAATTAATTTTCTCTAGTATTTATCACATCTTTAGATATATGTATGATGCCGTATGCAGTCATATATTGACTCTTGAATCACAACACAATCCAGAATTCTTTAGTAAAGTTAGGGTTATTCGTTGCTATCGACTATGGATATAAATAAATCCTGAGTATTTACTTCAGAAAGTGTTTTATGGCAGGCTTCATCTATAGAACTATAAATCCATTATATGATTTTTACGTCATACAACAAAATTGTTTAATCAAGCAACCGTTTAAGATATCGATAAAGTTATCTTATATTTCGTATTCATATCGTAGAATACTACAATGCGTACGGGTGCCTGAATGATGTACCACGTTAGATTATACAACCAGATATATGAACTGATAACTCTATTCATTAAGTTCTGTTTCTCAGCACCGAACTACTTGACAATTTTTTCTGTCTTGAATTTTTTTTGACAGCACGGAAATGGAACAATTTAGTTTCAACTTAAAAGATGATATTTTTCCAATTTTCATAAGGAAATAATCATCTTTCTTTTAGAGTAGGCGCTTCAGTATAGAATTGACAAAAAAAAGCATTCATTTTCTATATGTTATCACTGTCAGACTAAATATCGATCCATCTATTCACGACGTGTGATGTATATAAAATAATTTACTACTGATGGTGATGATGATGACTATCGAATTATTTTTTAACGCGATTATTTTGGCATTATCTTCAATTAGTTTTCTTATTTCGATATTTATTCTGATTATAATACTCATTTATATTCGTCCATTATTATCCAATATGGCAATTCTTCTCACATGTAATTCATACATCATTCTAGTCTTAGGCACATTGATGATGATGATTATATACAGTTATAGTACGTATTGTAGTTTGAAATTGTCGGACTTTTGTAATGATTATTTATGTCCATTACGAGGATATTTTCTTCATGTTTTTATCTGTGCATTTTTTTATTCGTGTCTTCTTCAAGCTACGTTTCGTCTATTTCGCGTTGTCTTCTATAAACTAAACTCAAGAAAATCTCATTATTCGTTTTTGATCGGAATATTTCTTCAATGGTCCATCGCATTTCTTTATATTCTAATTCATTTACTTAAACATGAATTTCAATATACTTCTCTTGCCTACGGTTGTTGGATTTCGTTCACTAATGTTGCTGGACTTTTTCAAGCTCTAATTGTTATGTATGTAGGTCCTAATTTGACCGTATGTTTAATATATGCTTATATTATTCGATACTTGCGTCGAAACAATCATATTCAACCACACCAACAAAAGCGTAATGGACGAGATCTGATTATTCTTAAACGTATTGTTATTCTTGTGCTTGTTGCTATGGGTATTGGTATAGCTACATTGATTACATTCATCGTTTATATTATTACTAATTATTTAGTTCCAATAGCTTATCATTTACAAGGATTGAGTGTATCCGGTGGATTTTTTATGGGATCTGTTGGCTTAGCATTTATTACGCCACAAATAAAGGGCATATTTCTAATGAAAGCACAAAGAATAACTCCTATAATGGCCGTCGGTGTAACCACCTTGAATGTCGGTCTAAATAATTGACATACGCTGTTTATAGTTTGTATTTAAAATTCGCCTCCGAAAATAAATTTTGTTTTTGCGTCACTATTTATGAACAAAAAAAGAAAAGATGGTTGTTTTTTGATAATAAAAATGCGTATTATTAAAATTCTTATCTTTGATCTTAATCATTCGATAATTATCATCGGTGAATCTTCGTTTTATAATTGAAGTTGAAAAAAAAGAAAAGAAAAGAAAAATGTCTTTAGGTGGTCGATTAATCAGACGTTTACTTCCTTGCTCGGCGAAACCGGAAAATTCTGATTCTATTCTCCATGAAAAGAAAAGCAACGAAGCAAAACATGACGTATGGCACGATTCGTCCTCTTCTCCTTTCCTTTATGACTATCAACAGGAGGTCATCCATATAGAACATTCGAACACGTACAATTGATTTTCACAGTCACATAAATTATTCTAGCCGCTTTGTTAAATGGAAGAATACTTTAGTCATTTTCTTCTTATCTTGTTCAATAGTCAGATAAGAGAATAAAAAATCATAGGTGTTTACTAGTTTGAGTATCCTTTATGAGTGATCGGTAAGCACCAACTGGGAGCTACTCTTTGAATCACACTCTCTTCGTATGAGAGAGAATAACAGCCGTCATCATAATAATTGTTACACAATAAACGAAAATGAAATTCTTGTCATTATTATTTTATCGATAAACATATGTAAGAGAATGATAATTATATAAATAAATTTTTTTTCTTCTTCTATTTTGCTGCTTTCTGATTATTATTATGTTCAAGTATATCTTAAAGTGGATGCGTCAATTCTAATCTCTATTGAGTTCCACTAGTTTTATGATCTTTCCTCTCTTGTATTCTTCTATTTTTTAAATGAAAAAGAAGTGAAGTGTGTGCGTGTGTGTGACGTTGCGGTGCTGCTCTCTTCAGCAGTAGTTATAGTCGAGCCGAAAGATAAGACCGTTTATCAGTCTATAACTGCTGCCTGCCTTCTTGTGTCAACAACAAGAAGTTCCATGTGCCACATACACGCATACAAAATTCTCTTTCGTGCTCTCTTTCGTTTTTTTCTTCTTCTTCTTCTACTTTGCTATGTAATGCTCGTAAAACTCGATTATTTCTGGCAGTAACCTTCTGTTTTTTTTTCTTCTTTACTTATTATCATTTCGTATTTTACGAAAAAGAAACCGACTGAAGCAAGCGAACGGCAGTACGTTTATATCAAGCGACCGAGGTAATCTCCTTTTTTTGTCTTGTTTACTCCATACATTTTCGTTCGCAGACTAAATCTGAAAGTAAACACGCGGAACGTTGTTTCCTGGAATTCATGTCTTCGTATTCGGTAGTAAAGACAATGTTCGTGTTGAAGAAGAATAAGAAGGAATAATCCTTTTCTTCGTCTTTTTTCTTCCCTGTAATAGTAGGCTTCTTCCATAATCTCTGACCTTTTTTCGCAGTCCTTCTTTCTCCTTTCGCGCTTTTTTTCTGTTTGTGTGTGTGTGTGTATGTGTGTCATCTTTCTTTCTTTATTGTATTCTTATACGCTTCCCAAGAACGTGTCTGCTACGAAAAATGTCAAGCTTTAAAAGACAATGATACACAGTGTCGTCGGCAACCGAGATATGATCATCAGATGATGATTCTTCTTCTTCTTCTTCTTCTTCTTTTCGTTCGTGTCTCTTTCTTTTTCTTTTTTCTCCTAATTGTTGACACAATACAACGACCAAATTCCGAGCGGCAGAGTACACACACATACATTCGCTCTGAACATTGGCTTTGCTTCCTCCCACAATGATCAACCTCGTCTTCTTTTTTTTTGTATTTCAACATCCCATTGTCAATCCCTTAAATGTGCAGCAATGTTTCTTATATACATCGCGGGATTTCTGTTTCGTGTGTGTGTGTGTTTTTCTTCATTTATGTCCTGCTATTCAAATTGTAAAGAGTCAGATCGCGTGTACATATCTATCTATTTATGATGTACAATGGATGTATCTCTTGAAAATGAATGACTATTTCATAGATACAAACCCGTAGGCTGTATTCATAGTTGTCATCACACCTTTATATATATATATATGCTATTGGAGAGGATAGAAAGTGGTTATTTTCAATTCCACATGCACCAATCCCTACCGTTACATGCGCATTCATATATACACACGTTTATCTTTTTTCTGCTCTCTCTCTCTCTCATTCTGTCGATCGACCTGTGAAGCATCATCATCACCACCGTATTGCCGGTGTATATATATATATATATAGGAAAAGGGAGATAGAGGAGAGGAGAAGAATAATAATGGATGGAGTGTCATCATAATTCGTGACGAATCGAATCATGCACGATGTTTTTTACAGTCAGGCAGGTAAATACAGTGGAGAAGAGAGAAGAGCCAGAAATATAAGCATAGTGTATAAAGTTGCTGGCAGTTTGTTTAAAAAAGCGTTCATCCGTGACGTGCAACGATGTTAGTGATTGGTAGAACTTTTGTCTCAGTACCTCCCACTCTCTTTCTCTTGACGCTACCATTATCATCACCGACTGTCTGTCTGTCTGTCTGTCTGTCTGAGCACATCGAAATATAAAGATGAGATATTGCAGTATAGTCGACGACAAAGAGAGACAGAACGAACAAACGAAATGAATGTCCACTACTACAACTACTACTACTACTACTACTACTAGTACAACTACACCCGTTTACTCCTTGTTCTCATAATTATCTATCGGTGAACGCACACACACATACATAGAACAGCAGTGCAGATTTCTCTTTCTCATCAAATGGATTTTTTTATCGTTCTTCTGATTTGCATTCGATAGATCGAAAGAGAAAGTAACATTCTCTCTTTCTCGTCATTTTCGTTTGTTGTCTATTCATAAGATAGATAGCAGAAAAAAGAACGATGATGCTAGCTACTGATGCTGTCTCTGCTTCTTCCTTCGACAGGTAAGGTAATGCGTCAGATATTTTTTCCTTTTTTCCTAGAGCGCAATAATCATATTACTGTTATTATTATACTGATGATGATCCTCTTTCGTTGGTGTGCATGTTTTTTTTTTCGTCTTTATATTTACATATGAAGAAAAAACGGAAGAAAAAACAAGTATTTCTTGCAAAAACTTGAGAGAGAAAAAGGTACGCTTAAAGTTTAATGATCCATGTCCAAATGGGATTAACGATACTTGTAAATATGATTAGTGATTCGATTTTTTTTTGCTCTCTTTCTCTCGCATCGTCTATTAATCGATTGGTTATATCGCGCATAGTTGATGCCATTGGTTCTTATTACTATTCTGTTCTTCTTTTTTTTGTATCCTTTTAGAAGACATCAACAACATCATCGTTTTAATATCTTCGATAAAAATACAAATAACACAATGGATTATTTCCTAACCAATACTGACGATATCAGGTAAGAATGTTTACTCGATTTGACTGCTATTACCGAAAAACGGATATCCGAATGTCTTTTGTTTACATTATAAAATCGACTATTTGTATTTTATGTTGACAAAGATTAAAAGTCTTGGCATAATGTTAATCCACCTATGAATCTTTGCATTTCATTTTCTCGTCACATTTTTGTTTCTTCTTCTTCTTTGCTTTTTTTCTTCTCTCTTTCTCTGTTAAACTACCGATGCGTATCGAACTGTATAATAATGCCTTTTGGGGGCATTTTAGTTGATATCGGTACTAGATAAAGAATGTCTCTTTCTCTTTCTCTCTACCATCTTCAATCAACGAGCTAACGTGGACGATCGTGTCTCTTTTTCGTTACCTGTCGCAGTGACGCCCCTCTAATCGCATCGTGCACATATATACATTTATACATATGCATATTTCGAGAGAACAGAACAAGAAATCTTTACGCTCTTCTTCTTCTTCTTCTTTAACCGCAAAGTAGTGGTCAATCGATGCAACAGAGTAATGGGGGAAAAAAAGGAGAGTAAAGTCTAATGTCATGCCTGGCCGATGTCTGACCATATGAATTATCATTTGATTCAATCGATCTCTCTTGCTTTCTCTCAACATGTGAATATGTCTGCTTCATTGGTGTCTATGCTGCCCTTAGGTTAATGGCTGTTGATGTGAAAAGATTTTTATCAGATTTTAATTTTCCAAAATTTTAAAATTTACTGTTTTTCATTTTAACACTCTTGTTCTGTCGATCTTTTTCATTGTTTATAAGTGTATGCTAAATAAACATTGAATATTGACTCTCATGTTTATGATTACCTTAATAAGATAGGATATCACCAAAAAATGCTATACAATATATATATCAATAAGCTCCTTTGTTCTAATGTTTATTTCAGTGATTGTGACGATCAATCGGACAAGTCAACTTCAAATAATAATCATGCTAAAAATCACACACAAAAATCAGTACTTGGAGAAAATACTGGAAGAAGTAGCAGGTAATACGGAGTTATTCAATATGGTTTTGTAGTCTATCTAAATGCAACCATAGCAGATGGCTCCACTAGTGTTTGCTGTAATCAGGGCTGGCCTGACTGAGGGATTGTCATAAACCCCCAATATTTAAGAAAGTTTCGTTTTTTTGCTAAACATAAACCTCATATATGGCGATTTTCTTGCTTGGTTTTTAATAGAGATTACCTTTCTGTTCCCGAACAGTTCTTGAGCGTGGATCCAAGCGATTATATCTGTGTACCATTTTCCGATAGATGTCAGTAGCCTAAAAACTTCTTATATGATTTTTCTAGACGTAAACAATCAGCTCCTCGTTCTCGGCTTGTCCGTCAATGTGACGAATGTGACTTTACGTCATCCATGACAAGTGAATTTAAAACTCATATGAAATTCGAACATGGACATGATCAAGTATTTTTATGTGATTTATGTCGATATTATTCATTATCATCATTTGATTATCAATTACATTTAAATTCACATCAGTAAAAGAACGAAAATCTTAATTTTTTCTATATTTTTTTTTGTTCTTTAAAAATAGAAATAATGTTTCAATATCTGCATCAACAAAATTAAACATATCACATGAACAATCAGTTGAATCCGATGGTGAAATGGAAGATGATGATTCAGCAAATATTTTTTCCAAAGAACAACATCCAATTCTCTATGAACACGATGAGCAAATGTCCGACGATGAACAAGTAAGACTATTGACACTCTGCATAAGCGTTTCGCCGGGCCTGTTTTTTTTACTAACTTCATATGTTTAAAAATTATTCGAAAAGCATGTGATCATAACCGAAATTTATGTTCCAAAAAAAACACTTCCGGAATGTGCAATTGTAGCAGATTTTTTCCCGAATTCGAAACTAATTCAGATCTCCGTTTTGCTAGTGCAGTTCAGTACAATTATAACACATTACATTAATTATCTGTTGGTAATTTCTGACTTATATAGGCAACTTCAGCTACAGCAATGAGTTTTTCGTAAAGATTCGTGATCGATTGATGAATATTCATCTTTACAATGACAAATCTTTGGAAATAAAGTACCAGTCAATGACATCAAAGTAGCAGAATAGTTAATGCCAGCATCTTATAAACTGCTGACTTTCCTAAAAAAGTTTCTGATTTTTCAATTTTCGATCTGGCCACCCTGGTCCCGTCAAATCGATTATATACTCAGGGTTACTGGTTATGTGTTCAGTTATTGTTTATCATAACATGTGTTTTTTTTTCTTGTCGTGCTCGTGCACGATCGAATATATGCGTGTCATATTACACAGATTGATAGTACCCATGGGACCGGTAAAATCAGATCATCATGATGCTGACTTCAATCGAAACGTCTACGATTTATCGATACAAACTTCTGTTTGGAAGAAAAAAAGACGACTAAATCAGATATTGAATATCTTTCTTGACTTGATCTTAGGATTGAAGTTGACACTTGTTTTACCATAATTTCACTTGAAAATTGATCTCTGTCAAGTCTATGGACATCACTTTGTATATCGTCGTTTGATCTTGTTTCTGTCTACTAAATTTTATGACATAATAACTAACAAAAGAATTAAATATGATAATTAACTTGTGTTTTGTTTCTTTTTTGTCTGTAACAAAAAAACGAAAATTTGCATGTCAAAGTCTTTATTTTTCTTTACATTTCTAAGTGTAAAAGAAAAACAGCAGTCGAACAGTTACTATTACAAGATATTTGCATAAAATAACTTCTTCGGATTAAACTATTATTCTATGCATATTTAAAAGTTTCATTTTTCAATCATATATATATATATTCAGTAGATGCATTTGATTAATTACTTACATTTGAGATCATAAAAATGGATCAGATTTTATGATTGAAAAGAATCATAGTCTATGTCAGAACAATAATCTGAAGTGAATTTTTAATTTCTCGCACAATAGAGAAAATCATTAATGATGTGTGAAGCTTTTTCATAGTTATAAAATAAAAAAGCAACCCTACAGCAAAAAAAAAACGAAGAAGAAGAAGATTTATCAGCGATGAGATTAATTCGACTTTCTTTCTTATCATTTGTCTTCTTGAATTGCAGATGCATCTTTTTTTTCGATTAAAATAATCATGTAGCAATGATTAAAAACGAATACAAATTTCTTTCGCTCGTTTCTAAATGTCTTCTCGAATGAATATGAGAACTTGCGCTCACGCATGTAATTCTATTTTAGCACTATACCATGATGTGTTTCTTTTTCGTTTGAAGCGTACAAAAGCCTATAACAATTAGGAGTAGTTCTGTTGTTTTTTTTGTTGTACACTGACACCTGCTCGAAAGATCACTTTTTCGGTTATGGCTGTTATTATTGGGTACTCATAAAATAAGCGAGAGAATACAGATGGCATTGCCTTTTCTCCCTTTCTCTCTCTCTCTCTCTCTCTCTCTATCTCAACCAATCAAAATTCATTTCTCTCTATGCTCGTTTTGTATGTATATATATATATATATATAGAATCCATCAACTAGCACAAGCAAGAAACTTAATCTATCAGTTACTTCTTCACATTCTAATACAACACAACAAACATCATCAGTACCTGATCGCAAACGCCCATATAACGTATCTGTTGATCCAGCCCGATATCGCCGTGTACCAGATCCAGACGATGCAACTGCTGGTAAGAATGAATAGATTTTCAATAGCTTATCTCTTGAAACAAATGATATACAAAATTTCATTCTTTTCTTTCAGTAAAATTTGCTTGTTCATTATGTGGTAATTTATACAAATGGCGAAAAAGTTTAAATAAACATTGGAAAGAAAAACACAACGACGAAAGTCCACCGCCACTCGACGCACCAGTTACAATTCGACCACCGAAATCATCAGCAAATACAAATATTCAATCTAAACTATTGAATCGAACAAGTGACATCTTACCACAGTCATCAATGAATCCGCCAGCATCATTAGCTCCACCACCGCCTCCGCCTCCAGCACCACATCATCCAGCATTTCCATTTAATCCCTATTCATGGATTAATTTTGCTTCTCGAAATGATTTTCAACCCATCTATCCATCAGTAACACCTACGGATCAATCGTTAAATCTTCCATTGGACTTAACAATAAAATCGACAAATAAAACAACAACAACAACATCATCACCAATATCAATCGAACAAAATCCACTAAAAAAACATCATCGCGATAGTAGTAGTAGCAATGAAGAACAACGCGATAGTTCACATTACAATCGTGCTGATAGTGATGATGATGACGATGATGATGGCCATTCAGAACATGCATCATCTTCAAGTCCACCAAATGCATATGGACAAAAAATATTTATTTGTTCTATATGTGATCAACGTTTTCTTGCTGTTGAAACCGTCAATGAACATTTCTTGAAAAATCATCTTCTCGAATTAGAAAATGAAATAGCTGGTAAATCACCGCCGCGCAATACAAATGTTGCACAACAAAATGAAGAATGGAATTTAAGCGATCCAGTTAATCCATTGAAATGTATTCAATGTGACTTTGTTGGTCGTTGGCCAACCGAACTTCAAAAACATGCTGCTTCACATTCAACATCACGACCATTTAAATGTCTTGTTTGTTCATTAACTTATAAGTGGCGGTGGGATTTAGCTAAACATTGGGATCGTGCACATGCATGCGGTGTTAAAGGTATTAATTTAATAAATCCATATAAAAAACGTGATCGTGATCAAGCACGTTCCATGATGGAATTAACACCGACACCAACAGCAACTACAAAAATCAATGGTGATCATCATTCAACTTGCTCATCAATATCATCGTCGTCAACAATAAAAAAGAATTCTTTACGCAATTCCGATGATGACGATCATAGTCAGCATTCCAGTATGTCTGATGACGATGAACAAGTTCAACCACCACAGCAGCACCACCACAACAACCACCACCACCATCAACCACCGATTAAACGTATTAAACAAGAGGATGAAAAACATTTATCATTGTTATCAACATTTTTACCACCTCCACCCCCACCGCCGTCAACAACAACAGCCGCGGCTGCGGCTGCTGCTGCTGCTGCAGCATCAAATATGTTTTTTCCACCACCGTCATTTTTCTCTCATCATCCAATGTTTTCATCGTTTGTCAATCCATCATTATTACTACAACCAAAATTTAATTATGGATCACGTTCCTCTCAAGTGCCGCTCAATGCAAGTTTAGATCTATTTAAACAAGCATCTGCTTTTATTCAACGAACACAATCACCAAATTCTTCAAGATCATCATCACCAAGAACATCATCACCTTTACAACCGCCGCAACAGCAACAACGAATACATGCTGTCGCTGCTATGGTCGCAGCAGCTAATGGTAATAGTAATCACATTCGTAATCATCATCATCATCAACAACAACAACAGCAGCAGCAACAACAGCAACAACAACAGCAGCAGCAGCAGCAGCAGCAGCAGCAACAACAACAACAACAACAACAACAACAACAACTACAACTACAGCAACAACAGCAAAGAAAATTTGAAAAAGAAGAAAGAAATTTTCAATGCCGTTGGTGCGATTATCGTGGTCGATGGAGAAGTGAATTAATACAACATATGAGATGTCATCATGCTAGAGATAAACCGTATCATTGCTCGGCTTGTCCATATGCTTCAAGTTGGAAATGGGATGTTCAAGTAAGAAAATTGAATCTACTAACAGCTAAATGACGTATCGTCTATTATCGTTTTTTAGAAGCATGTTAAAAAACAGCATGCTCATGATACAGCAAAAATTGTTGAATTACCTGATAAATATTTATTTCAAACAACTCTGAAAGCAAAATATGAAGGAACCGATGATCGAGCCTTGGCACCAGCACCATTGACTGATGAAGATTATAGTTTTTTTGGTGCTGACGTTCAACAAAAATTATCATCAATGAAATATACACGTGATCGTACATTAGCTTGTCAACAATGTCCATTTGCTGCAAATTCAATGGCTGAATTACGACGACATTTAATTGTTCATTCAGCTGAAAGTCCGTATCATTGTTTTAATTGCGATTTTAAATCGAAATGGAAATGTGACGTTAAAAAACATATGCGTCTATGCAATCATCATGGACCAGTCTTAGTTGGACGTAAAGCTATGGCTAAAGTTATGGAGGTAAGAAAGATAAGAAAATAATATTTTTATTTTTATTCTTTTTTTGCAGAGTCTTGGTCTAGTCATTGGCAATAATGATTTAGCGAAGACAATACCAGCCGATAAACAAAATGTTGCTGCACTTGCAGCTGCTGCTATGCAAATGTCATCATTCTTTGCTCAACAACAAAAAGAACAACAAAAAAACAACAACAACGATATTATCGATGAAGACGAAGAAATTGTTGATGAAGAAGAAGAAGAAGAAGATGGTGGTGGTGGTGATGACGACGATGAAAATAATAGTTTAATTATTGTTGATGAAAATCAACAACAAGATGATATTGACGATAAACAAAAACGTATAACAACAAGTTCGCGTACACAAAATAATAATCTTCGTTGTCGTCAATGTGATTATGAAGCTGACGATCTATCAGATTTACTTGTTCATCGTAAAGCACATGCATCTATGAAATATAATACAAATTTTGATCAAACTTTTCAACAAGAGAAAATTCTATCGAACAATAATAGTGATATTGAAAATGATGATGAAGAACAAGAAGAAGTAAGGCCATCGTTATAGCACATATTGCATACCGAACGACCTAATTCTAGCTCTAGTGCTCTATGAGTGATGGCTGTCAAAATTTTATTCAATACATTCTCGACTGTTTTTCATCCTCTTTCACCTTACTATAAGTATTTCGGAGATAGTAATTAGTCAACAGGCAAAACAAAAAATAATGTAATTTCAATAGGAACTTTTACGAGATTGTCAGAGATCATGTGAGAGCGTGTCCGGTGTTTAAAATATTCGCCACCATGTGTCTGCCTTGAATTTTTATGACACATTGAATAATTTAAATTTTGCTCATTTTTGTAGGAAGAAAAAACTCGTGATATTCAATTAGATGAAAAAATGTTTGACTATGGTACGTTGAATATAAATATTATTTTTATGATAAAAAAAACCTTATACATTCATTATTTAGAATTACATTGGCTAGAAAATAATCCGTTAATTAAACAATTAACAACAGGTAATAGAAAAAAAAAGTTTTTATTATTATTATTCAATAATTTTTGTTTTAGTTCAACAAAAAACTCGAACTATTGTTTTTAAATGTTCAAACTGTAATTATACTATTAACAATAATCGCCAATATTTTCTTAATCATCTTGATCATCAACATCCAGAATTGTTACAAGTAGACATTTTTTTTTAAAAATTAAATTATCAAATAAATTAAATTTTCTCTTTGTAGAATTATTCATGATCATCGAAGATAAATATTTATGTAATTCATTAGTCAGATATTATGCATTTTCACGGTCTTTCTGTCTTCAACGAACTGCATTCCATGCATAAATATTTATATGTGTGACTTCAGATAAATTTTTCTTGTACATTGTCTGTTTGTTTGCACTATTTATTCCCTTTTTGTTTTTTTTTGTCTAGCCATTCCAATTTTGCTTTATCCTATTCTATTCTATTATAACCTGTATCGTTATTGTTTCTGTGTAATTTTCTGTTTGTTTTTTTTTAATCGAGACTAAGCAGCATAAGATCGAAAATAAAAAAATTGATTTTTAACAATGATGTTAGATTCGAAATTGTTGTTAAGATTATTTAAGGTCAACAAATTGGAAGACTTCAGTAGATTTATTTTTGTTTTGACACTTATGGCAACGAATTGATCTTTACTGTCATGTTGGAGGTGTGGCACTTCAAGTAATCGATTCAACGTTTCTTTCTATTATCAAGAAGCGTCTTTTTTGTTATGTCGCACTTGCGTCCCGTAGGAATTTAATTCATAAATACTTAACAATCCTATGAAGATGAAGAGTATCGTAGGAAAATCGAGTAACCTAGAATATATTGATATACTTTAGAGCTTCTTGTTTCTCGAACTTTACCAACAAAGAACAATCTAGACTCGCATAAAGCAATTACGTCGTACAATGGAACATGACTAATCATGGTCTCTCGTAGCTAGAAATGAAACTAAGTGTCCTTGAAAAATACGAAGTGCCTAATATTTCAGCCAAATGAGGGCATATCAACTTTTCTTACTTCCTGAAAACAGGCATATGTCAGTTGCACGCTATTAGTTAAAATGAAATTGTCATCGAGATATGAGTTCTTCTGTGGTAAATTATACTGCCAAGTACGTCAATAAATAATAGAATATGAATATTTTATAACTGCGAAATTTCTATTGTGTAATGGAGTTCAATGGAAACTATTTTTCTATTCTTTTAAATTCCCAGTACACCGTCGACAACGAGGGTGAACAGAATGAATCGATATTTTTTCAAAACATTATTCAGTCATCATGATCTTATAGTAGACATGATATATATATATATATATATATTGTAACCAGTATGTCTAGAAGAACGCTATTCAATGTATTGTTACTTCGAATTTAATGCATATTATCGCGTATGCAATAATCGTCAATGCCATTTTTTAAAGACAATCCTATTTTTCTTATCGTTTCGACGTGCTCTTCGTTAACTATTTAAGTAAAAAATCCCGGAGGCCGATACACTTTAGTTTATTTTAATAATAGTTTTAATATATGATCTGTTACTATCTTCTTCTTTTTTTTGTTTAAGACAAAATTTTCGACGATTCTCGTCAATGCTCATTTTGTAAGAAATAAACAAAACATTATAATGATTCGCGGGAACACTATTCTCTGCGTACTATTTACTGTATTGGTAATTCAAGCTCGAACATCCATCGGTAAGGTTTTTTCTTCCAATGAACTTTTCTTAAATTCATATTTTTTTAGGTCAACCGATGAAACCTAGTGATTTAAAAGCATTATTAAGAAAAGCATTAGAAGTTGATTTTTGTGCACGTATGGTACCAGTGACAAGACCAATTCCATTACGATTTCGTCGTACTCTAGCTAAACAACAATTTCAATGCCTTATTACATTAGATTGACCACTTTTCCCCTAACCTAATTAATTAAGCATGCGTTCAAATAAAGGCTGTATTTCATCTTTTAGTTTTTCTATGCGTACGTACGAGTACAAAATGAAAAACAAATAAAAATTTAATTGTTCACGTGAATCTATGTACTTGAAAAGTCATCTGTTCGAATAATTTCTTTGTAATATAATGAACATGTCTATGAGTCTTTCGATTAGTGTCTTCAGAATCAGCATGGACTATCATATTATTAACTTATGTAAATAATAGTTCTATATTTAATCGGAAAAAATATAAAGTATAAATAATGATAAAATTTCATTGATATGTTTCTTTCGGTTTTTTTTCGCCTCAAACAGGTTGTTCTTGACTTTGAATTTGTTCGATGGACGATGTTACTGCTAGAACAGGATTAGTCGATTCTGTTTCTAATGGAAGGTGTTTTCGCGTTATTTGATTTGGTAGCTTTCCTAAATAGAATAATGCTCGTGGTACATTTGTACTTCGCCGGAGTGAATATGTATAATCAGGATCGATACTATCAGTAGTGATTGGTTGTCGACAACTAAAATCTGTCATGCAACGTTGCTTTATAACGTTGTTAAAAGAATTTTTACGATCGATTGCTCGTGTATATATATGTGGTATACCAGATGTTTTCGATGAAGAATATTCTTCTGGTGGATGTGCAACATATCGACCAGCGTATTCACTAGATAAGAAATTTAATTTAATTTAATTTAAAAAAAAGCTACAACGAAAAGGTGAAAGAATATATGCGGAATAAGTGATGCTTGTAATAAAAAGCAAGGACATGCACATGCTACAATGATTTTATTTTTGCAACAACATCCACACCGTTACTATCGAACAGTTCTGTGGCCTGTAAGTGACTATTTTTTTAGCAAAAAAATCTAAATGGAATTTGATTTCGGGAAGTGAACGAGCACTTGCCTCACTTCCGGCATGGTACGTTGACGTCGAAGACTTTGACTTTGTGAGCGTTTTCTTACTATAAGACCCCAACTTGTCGGTGCTGCTTCTAGTGGATGATCACTACGTTCTGGTATCCAACGCTTTTCTAATATTAACCATTTGCGTTCTGATGTATCCTTGACAATATGTGATAATCAATACAATATTAATTAGAAAAAGTTTTCTTACTTGATGTTCTCCATAAGCTCCTCGTTTATTATATTGTTCATCGTAGCTTTAATCGATTAAAAATAGTAGGAAACAACTTTAGATTTATTTTTACCTGCTAATATGTTGTTTTCTATCGTCAATATCATGATGATCAAGAATCAATCTGCCAGGTTTTTGATTGTGTGCTGCAAGAATTTTTCGTCGTAAAACAGTATCCGGAATAGAACCGACATGTGCTGGATAATCAATAGTGTACATGGTTTTTGATCTATGTAGTGATTCGTTAAACTAAATAAATAATCAAAAATAGTTACGTATTAGCTGAGATGATTAAACTTACTTTTAATTGATCTTCATACCAATTTCCAATAAGAATATTATTACTGAATGGTCGTTTGCCACGAAATTTTTCTGGATGTACTGGTATAATGGGTACGTTTGCGTAGGTTCCATCTTTTGGATTGAAAAATCGATCCAATTTCGATACCATGTTAAAATTAATCTTCAATAAAAAATACGAAATACATTTTTACATTGAAGACTTCGTAGGCACATGATATGTTATATCGAATCGATTGTTTTATAGCTTTGAATTTCAAGTGATTTCTATGTGAAGAAAAAGAAAGAACCAATTAACACTTTTATTTGTTTGAATTCTTATCAACGTCTTATTCGAAATATTGTTTCTCAGTCATGTTAGAGAAGAAAAAAAAGAAAGATTTTCTTAGGATTCAGAGATTTCATTTGAAAAGTCAACATACTAATGAATTACATAAGATAATCTACAGCGAACAGTTAAATGAACATAATACGATCGTCTTAAATATTTTTAATTGAATTTAGAGCATATATTACAATTAAAGTATCGTGCTTTGACAGAGAAAAGATTAAAAAATTGATTCAAATATTAATTTATCGCTCACTTGCTAAAACTTCATCAGGGTGTAGATATTGTTCTCTTATTCTTCAAAAACATATATTTTTTATTTTCTATCATTGGCATGTATAATAGACATGTATTACTTGGCGACGCACATTGTTTTGTATTTATTATTTCATTATGCTAGATGTCTCTAGATACATGTATGCTTTTTTCCGGAGATTGGGAGTCAAATCTAAAAAACAAATTTTATCTATCGTACCATATACTAGAAATTGGTGCATGCCTAGTTGGAATTTTCTGTTTTCTATGTTTTATCGTATTCTTTATTTAATTGTTCGAATAGAGCTCGGAGTTGGGTTAATGGTCAGTACAGAAAAAAAGAATGATAATTTTCACACTTTTCACCTATTGTCAAGTGTGACATAAATGAAACAGACGTGATAACAATAAGGAAAAATATAAATATGATCCGTTGGTCATGCCTCCTTTTTTTCTCATAAAAATAACTAAATCTTGCAACTAACATTATTTAAATTGTAATTGATAAGATGGTTTCCTGGTCATGACTTTTAACAAATAATTCGATTAAGTTGACACTATATTTTGATCGTGCTTAGTAAATAGTTTTATGAGACACGTTTTTCACTGCGAAGTTGTTGATATTCGATTTTATTTGACATCAATAAAAATTTATCACGTCACAGAGAACGGAGGTGTATGCTTTTTTCAATAGCATTACAAAACAATGGAGCTCTCGTGTGAACTGAACAGATCAAAGGGTTGTACTTTGTACGAGAGAAAAAGGCAAAAATCTATGGAAGTTAGATGTTCTGACTTAAAATAATTAAAATGAGAGAGAGAGAGAGCATTTCTTGCTTTATGTTCGCAAGCGATATTTTACATGAACAGACTCTCTTCTTCGCCTTTGTCTATATGTGACACAAATAAAGAGTAGATAACGATGCAGGACTTTCTCACGTTCTATTAGTTCAAATAACACTGGCACAAGATTTTATAGATTTGAAATAGAACTATCTGGTATTTATTAATAATAAACACAAACTTAGTGCAAATCGTTATCGTTATTAATCATATTTTTACTAATAGAACGAAAAAGAAAAAATGACTCCTCGAGAAGAAAGTACACAAACAGATCAATCACTTGCTGTAACTGGTTCATTATCTAGTTTGAAATTAACAGATGTCCTGAAATTTATCTCCTCATTGCTATTACCGCTCACATTAGGTGTATTCACTGTTATCATCACTGTTCAACAGCACGAAGTAGCTAAACAACAACGTGAACAAGATCAAAGATCATCCGAATTGCAACGTGAGCAAGAAAAACACTTGAACGACGAAAGATATAAAAACGACCGTTTAGATACTTACATTAAGGAGATGGGTAAACTATTAGAAAAACATAATGGATCAATAATATCAAGCGATGTGGGAATTACGCTTGCTCGAGTCAAGACCCTGAATGTCTTTCGTCAATTAGATCCGCAACGCACTGTTCGTGTTATTCGATTTCTCTACGAAGCGAAACAACTTACTGATACACAGGAAAATCGCTCATTGGATCTTTCTACAGCAGAGCTTTTTGATATTGATTTTCGTAATTCATCAGTCAATAAAAAGAAACTGAATAGTTTATCGTTGACCAGTATGTACCTATCGAATACCACATTTATAGGTTTGGAAATGGGACACGTCAAGTTCAGTGATACTCAATTTACCATCGTAAATTTCTCATTGAGTAATATCAGCCATGGCGACTTTTCATCCACTACTTTCAATAATGCTAATTTTTTATATGCTAATTTATCCGATACTACTTTTGAAAAAGCCCAGCTAAAAAATATGAATTTCTCATATACTCATATGAATAGTGTTAGTTTCACGTATAGCTCTCTACGCAATATCAATTTTTCATGCGCACACCTTGGCAATGTTAATTTCCCATACGCACAACTTGTCAATGTCAGTTTTCTGTCTGCTGATCTGAGCTATCCGGATTTTCGGGGTGCTAAATTTCAGAATACCAGTTTTTCGTCCGCTATTTTAAGTAATGCTTATGAAAGTTATTATTCTTTTGTTCACGGAATAACTTTCTGATTATCTTTTAGTTTCAGCTAAGTTCGAACGGACTGAAGCATCTTTTACGAATTTTGGACAAGCGAATACTATCCTAGCCCGATTCGATGATGCTAACTTAAATTATTCTAACTTTTCACATGCGAATATTAAGCGTGCTTCATTCGTACGCGCTAATCTGAATGAAGTTGATTTTTCTCGTGCCAACCTATATAAGGTTAATTTTAATGGTACTAATATTACAGACAAACAATTGCACAGCGCTTTATCTATTCAAGATGCTTTACTGCCAAATAAAACGCTTGCTCAGGATGCCAACTTGATTAAAAATGGCCAACATGATTGTACTAGTTCTGCTATCAATGGTTGGACACTGCAAAGTGGAAATGTCAGTAAAGTCATGTTTGGCAAGAATGAAATTAATTGTCAGTTCACGTTACAATCAATTTCTACCGGAGCTACTATGCATCAACGTGTCATTTTATCTGGCATATGGGATTCAAGTTCTTGGCCGTACTCTCAAGCTGTGTTGAGGGCAAATATGAGCATCGGTGTGACCATGCAATTGAGAGGAATCGACAGTAATGATCTAGTTCTTGCTCGATACAGTTTAAGTAAGTTCCACTATATGCTTGCATTGACTAAATTTTATCTTTTGCATACAGATTCCACTGGCACAAATGACAGCTTAATTTTGAGTGACGAAATTCGACAACTAGAAGTGTTCATCGAGTTTAGTGCAAATGACAATTGCGGAAATGGAACAAATTGTTGGTGTAGTGACATCAAGCTCTTTATCATCTATGGTACATATCTGGAGTTATTTCGAGGGGGTGAGTAGTGCTTTAAACGTTATTTGCAGAGAACTCGGGTGTGCTCTGTAAGATAGATGTGACCTCTCCATACCGCTATATCGCTATACCACTATATTAATATAACACGATAGAGGTATAAGCATTTTGAATTAATCGTAAATTCAAATTATCCCCCAACTCACTTTTACATTTACGTTAGTTCATATTTTCATTACTTGTTCTTTACTGCTTCCTTTTAGATATAGAGACTGATTATTCGAGTTCTATTAAAATGTTCCTTAGTTTCTACTTCTACATGTGCTACGTGTTTGCGATTGAATCATTTTTGTATAAATTACATATAATATTTCATGAAGTTATTCTATACTCTTTATTTAAATGAGAATTATTCCTCATTCCAATATATTTCTATTCATAATTTCATGATGTCCCATAGGCTTATCGC